CAACGTCTATATTTCCATCTAAACTTTTCATCTATTTGAAACACATCACTTTTTTTTAAAAAAAATTATTTAATAATTAAATACAATTTAAATTATAAAATAATTTTTTAAAACTTAAAATCCCACTTGTTTTTTCCAATTTTGTCTAAACTATCACTGCACTACACAAAAGGGAGCTGTTATGTCCTACGGTTCAGACCAGCGTCTGTACAATCGACTAGTACAATCAGACACCGACACGTGTTCCTGCCAGCAATGAACAAAACGTCCAACCTTTGGCGCGTGTCCTTCACTTCCCTCCAAAAATAAAACTTGGATTCCATCGGGATTGCCAATTTTATTTGGAAACAGCAAAATGCTATCTTCCCATCTCGTTTTACTCGTTCCAGGGAGAAGTCCTTTTTGGTTTTGTATATAAAATTCAGAAAAGACAAAAAGGAAATTTATCTGGAAATAGTAAAACTGCTTTCCTACAAACAGCAGACTCAAAGACACAGTTGCAGACACCAGACATGGCCATGTCCTTTTAGCATTTCACGCAGGTAGTTCTTTTTGGTTGGTTCCTCTGAAAAGCCTCCCGTCTCGCTCTTTGTCTTTCTTCTTCCTTCATCCTACCCAGAAAGAAAAGGTTCTCCAATGGCGACTACGCCACTTCTGTTCACGAGTAGTGGCCATGCTGCTGAAAAACCAGAGCAGGGTAAGAACAGGGGGAGGAAACCCAGCAAAGCTCAGGTGACCCAGAAGAAACTGCCACAAAGAGGCATGGGCGTGGAGAAACTGGAGCGCCTCAGGCTCCAAGAAAGGTGGAACAAAATGACGGAAGAAGAAGATGCCAATGCTTCCCAGCTCGGTCAATCCGGGGCAGTGAGCTACGGGAGTACTGCACCTTATCCGATCACCCATTTTGCGGGCCCGAGTGAGAGTACTGTTCCTATGCTTCTCGGTGCAGCGAGCTTCGGGGTTCCCACTGTGAATGGTGGAGGCCGTGGGGAGTTCTGGGGTTGGGACATGGGAATGATGGTACAGCAGAGGGTTGGGAATGGCGGCGGGTTTAGTGGGTTTGTGGGTGGTCAGGGGTCGGGTCAGATTTTGGGTTTGGTGGAGCATTCCCATCTGGGCAGTAGAGTTGGAGCTTCGGATTTCAGGGTTCAGTTTGGCAGTGTTTTTGAGACCTCGAGAGAGCTCTCTTCAATGCCAAATTTACAGCAATATGTGCCTGCTGAGTACCGCTCTGATGTCTATTTCAAGGTCTTCCTCCTTTTTACCTCAATGACCTTTTTAGTTTAAGAAAAAAATGGCAAGTATGTCTGGGGTTTTTCTCATCTGGGGTTGAGTTCTTGAGTTTGTTTTCTTGTTGGATTCCAAAGAAAAAATGACCCAGTTAGTTTAGTTTTTGAACAATATTCATAATGGTATTGTATTGTTTGGTTTTCAAGAAAGTGTGGGAAAAGAAAAGAACAAGATCAAGGAAATAGTTAAAGTGTCTTTAATTATCTTCTTTTGGATTATTTTTACAAATCTCAAACTCATGTAAACGTAAACACAGCTACATGTTAGTCTTTAATGTTGCAAGCGATTCAGAAACATTAAATTAATGTTCTTGGTAAAGTTTACCTGGCCAGCAGAATATCCCATGACTGTTCTTCATTCTGGATCCTAATGTGTAGTTTAGTTTGCTTTGATGTTGCAGAAGAAGCGATTGAATGTGGGGAACACAAGGCTGAATGGAGGTTTCAATGGAATCTCACCTGTTTTACCCATCAATGGAGGACAAATTTTTCCGGGATTGCATCTTCAAAACAATCAATATTTGAATGAAGGTCAGATTCAGATCAATGGATTTAGCCAAAGACAAATTAGAGGACCATCTGCTGGTTATTCATCAAGCCACACTGTTCCTGGATTCCAACTTGAAAACAACACTCAAAACTTCAATAGGGATAATCAGATGAATGGACTCACCCTGAAAGGACCAAGGACTAGCACTGCTACTCCATATTATTCATGCCAAAATCCATATGAGGTGATGACTAATATTAACCCATATGGTTTCGTTTTTAAAGAACATCTGATTGTAATTAGTAACTATTGATTAATTAATTACTTGTGGGGGCTGTGTAGGGTACTGGAAGTCAAGTTCTTGTGGAGTATGATTTCTTTCCAAGGGCAAGCAGCAGAAGCACTTCTTCCAAGGTAGAAGCTTCAGTTGCAGAAGCACTTAGGGGTGAGGCATCTGATCCTAATTCTACTTATGTTGATTTGTCCCTCAAGCTTTGATATCAGGGTCATACAGAAAAAAGTCGTCTGTTTTTTATAGTAAGTTCTGTTACATTGGTTTGGGTGTAATTAATTTAGTGCATTTGAACTCAAGCCCCCAAAAAGCACAGCTTTTTAGTTTTAGGGTTTGCGATTACTTTCTTTTTGGCTGTTGAACTCATCTCTCTTACTAAAATAGTGCAATATATGTTTATGGTTTCTCAGAAATCTCTGTTCACTTATCTCTGTGATTTTGTCAGTTTCAGATTTAATTTCCCCCAGCTTTTAAGTATGTACTGAAAAAAGAAGACTTTGTGTGTATCTTACAAATCTTTTGATAGATATGATCATGGCATTATTATGAAATTAATCTTCAGATCTCTCTATGGAAGAAAACATAAGGAGAAGAAGAAAATGTGCAAATTATGAAGTATGTACCTTCCTTTTTTGTCTGTATAACAAAACAAAGAAAATTAACTTACCAAAAGGCCATTAATTTGGGTTAGATTGGGAGTTTAGTATTGGTACCGTTGGGATATAACTTCTCTAAAATTAGAGTGTCAAGAAATTATATAGTATGGTTATGGTTAATTTTAAAAATTAGTCATAAATCTCATTGTGTTTCATAACTTCTAGTATATGCTCCTTTTTT